TCCATTTGGGGTGTGGGGGGGGGGGGGAGAGTGATTGTCAGCGCGGGTCAGCATGGCAGAATTGAATGTCAAAATAGCGGGGTGAGGTGGGCTGGGATCACAGTGTGGTGATTTCACCCTCAACAGCACAAGGAACGTTTGTTCTGTGGATGGTGCGCAAACTAGAGTTCCCTGACGGTGCGTTGTGGGTGTACGTAGACACGGCGGATGCGTGTAAACTTACACTGCATGTGCATTACTTCGAGGTGAGGAGCATCGGTTAAGTTCATATTTAAAGGGTTCAAGTCTACATTCCTAGTTTGGTAATTGATTAGCTCATTGCCTATCGGGTCTATCAGATAGCCCAGTGGCCAATGGCATGCTGACGATGCTTCTGCTAATTGTAAGGGAAGGGGCTTAGCGTTTTCAGCCTGCAACAGGAAGTTCTGTTACTGGCAGGATCTCCAGGTAAGAAACTTTTCAACAGATTCACTACAAATGAGTTGCTGCAGGAAACGTTATGTAGTGAGACACGATGCCAATTATAGTGCAAAACAGATTTTGAGTTTGCATAGACTTTAACCCCTTCCCATTGGCTGTATGCATATAGGTGGCCTCATGGAGGTGGGCCTTATTCTGTACTGTCGCTGTTTTGTGTTGGAAGCGCGTTCAATCGCACGTCTCCCAATGGTGTGACTGCGCGGCCACCAACAGGTTTCTGGTCACAGAGCTGGTAGGACAGGCTCCCGATCACGTGATTACAGTGACAGCCAATCACAGTGACCACGTCAGGAAGGTCATGAAACTCCTCAAGCATTAAGATTTCAGTGGGAAGGGTAAATCTTGTTATTGTATTATAACCTTTTTTCTTGTTTTTTTGGTGTAACATTTGCGTTGATTGTGGATGGTCGTTCTAGTTGTACGGACAATGGTCTGAGCTCATCTGGCTTTGTTCTAGTATTGGTATTTGTATGGGGAGTATGATTGCAGATTCAGAAGTTTCACAGTCCCTTAGTGTTCTCTGCTGCTGTTATTATATGATTTCATTCCAAGTAACATCAGAGATTCGCCATCTTCCCCCCTTGTGTCATTCCATGTAAAGAGCCGTCAGGGGGAATATTTAGGCCACCATACACAGCTGGCAATTTTCAGCCAATTCAGCAGCGTTCTGCCCCCCGCCCCCCGTACGGGGGACCACCATCGTTCTAATGGTGGCACTGGTGCGCGCTCGTCCATAGACACACACAGCCCTGTGGCAGGCCACTCCCCTTCTCTCTGATTGATGGCAGAAGGAGCCTATGGCTCCTCTGCCATCAGTATCCTCCCCCTGCAACCAGGTAGTACGGGGAACGGAGGATCACTTCGGGACCGGCGGCGGGGATGAGCGTTGCTGACAGGTAAGATTTGGTAACGGGGGGAGACTGGGGGAGTAAAAGGTTATGGGCGTTTTTTACTGGAATGCAGAGAATGCAATAAGGTAAAAAACGCTCTGACCTTAATACTACTTTAAGTAATCTTCATGATCTAATCAATCTACTACTCATGAGTTGGCTTGACCACCAGAATTTTGGTCAACTGTGAGGTTGGAACTGGCCAATATATTGTCAGTTTCAATAAAGAAGATACATTGCGATCAAATTGAAAAGGCCGAACTCACAAATAAAGATATTTGGCTGAATGGGCACAAATTCCCACAGACACTCCAAAGTCTTGTGGGAAGTCTTCCCAGGAGAATGGAGGATGTTATGGCCTCAATGGGGGCCAACTCCATATTGATGGCCATGGCTTTGGAATGGGATGTCCTACAAGGTCATATAGGTATGACGGTCCACAGACTGTTGACCTTTATCGTGTATGAAAACTATTTGTACTCTCATTTAGCCCGTAGGCCTCTGTAGGAGGTCCCACCTCTGGGCCGGGCTTTGCCTTTCACAAATATAGATGTTCCTCTTAGCTAAAAATTGATGGATGGAACAACTGACATTTGTAGGTATCTATAGACGTGACTTGCTGGATCTGGTTTTAGACATGTCCTGTCCCTGTTGTTTCTTCCAGTAGAGATTTGCATGCACCGCTCTTCTTACTGTTCTATAGTATGATTGCATTGGTGACCCGCGCACCACTTTTTTAATGCCTGAAGCTGGACTAAGGCATCTATAGGCTGTCTGATCCGACCTGCACAACCGGCTATCCTGTGAAAAGCATGACTGACTTCTTTACTTCTGCCAATCTATACATTAAATCTAAACGAGGAAGCATGACAGAGGGGTTAGGGTCCGGATGTATTATCAGTCTGGGATTTGGAGGGGACTAGTTGTGCCATAATATATAAGCAGCCGCTATGATTGGGATCCTCACTCCGCTCCCCCTCTTGTCAGCGCTGTGACGTTCATTGTGACTCGCACTCTTGAACTTACTCTTGTTATCTTCTCATTTTTTACAGAAACGCCCAGCATTGAGAAGCTTTTGTCGAAGGACTGGAAGGACAAGCTTCTGGCCATGGGATCGGGGAACCTGGGCGACATAAAAGGTGAGGCGAAGATCTTGGTGTCCATTAGATCAGAATGAGGAGGAAGGTGGGCCTTGTTACATTGTGTCATGAAATACTTTCCCTCGAATTGTCCTGAGGAGTCCCGTGCTGAACAATACTCCATCCGCAGCTCTTCCTCTCCGTAGAGTATTGTCTATTGTCATCTTCTTCCTCTCTGTTCTCTATTGTCGTCTTCTCAGGTCTCGGCAGAAAACAGTCAAGCCGCAAGTGTTAAACAATCGCCGATTTCCACAGAGGGACTTGTCTTAAATGTCAGTTTGATATCGCGCTGGTTCTTCCAAGTATCTGAAATGTTTGATTGCTTTGCCGCCGTTGTCCTGGGGAGTTCTAATTGAATGGAGAATTGTTACAGATTCTCATTGTTAAAATGAATGTTTGTAGGCGGAAGGAAATGACTCTCATAGTTACCATATGTAGCAGGACCAGAGACGTGTCCCTTCTAGCAGTCAATTGCTGGCAGACACTGGTGACTAGAGAACCCTGAAGGCATCACGGAGAGGTCTGTTATGGCTGCTGCTCTGGCTTGTGGCTATGCTATACCTAATTATGACGCAGTGGGGCATTCAGAAGAAGGAAACCCATTAGAGGGGTTCAGGGGGGTTCTGTTTAGCAAATTTAAAAGCAGAACTTAAAGGAAAATGGAGGCTGCCATTGTTACCTTTCTTCTGCAAATGCCAGTTGCCTGGCCATTACAGCGACTTGATCGCTTCGGTGTTTTCCCTCACCCGGAAGGAGGATGTGAATCAAGCGACTGAATCAGTTTGACAGCCAGGCAACTAGAATTTCCAGAAGCACTGGTCAGCAAGTAACAAATCTTAATCCAAACATACCTTCATGATATAAAACCATAAGGAATTCTTAAATTGGATGTAAATACTCTTATTTGCTCCCTTTAGTCTGTTAAATATACCATTGAATGTGTTTTGTTTTATCTGTTTGATAAGTGCAAACAATACCTGTTGATCCTGCCAGAAATCTTGTACCTTCCTGTGCTGTCTGCCTGCAATGCACTCTTATAAGTTACATTGTCCCCAGCTAGCTCTGAGGACTACAGAACACCTCTCGGGTGGGTATGCAGATGAAAAGGGTGCGGGGTGTTCTGTAGCCCTGTCTTAGTGTGACAACGCTGTTCCTCCATAGATACAGTGCAGTGAGTGTTGTCACCCTGGGACAGGAAGTGTATTACTGGCAGGATCACCAGGTGAAACTAAAAGGAAAGAAAATGTATGTAGCCATGTAGAATGTAGCCAGCACATCTCAGGACTGGTAAGCTGCATTACATTATATTTTTGTTCTTGGGTTTATATAATGGTTTGCATAAAGTCTCTTATCTATGGCTCAAGCAGACACCCCCTGACCGCTGGTTTTCTGAAAGGAACGAACCTTGTCCGATCGCCGCCGTTTCCCTGGAGATAAGCGGATGCCTGTGTCGTCGCCTTCTCATCCCCTCATCTACATACATGAGCGCATTGTTTATGGATGTACCTGGCCATAAAGACCCCGCTTGACGATTGCACGGTGCCTGCTGATCTGACCCGGATCTGATGTCCACGACCCGTTGTAATAAGATATATTTAACCCCTTCATGACTGAGGCCCTTTTTTCCATTTTTGCACCCATGTTATATTCCACATTTTAGGCCTGAAAATGACGTAAAACCCCCAAACATTATATATTTTCTGAATGCCAAGACCCTATAGAATAAAATGGTGGTAGTTGAAAATTTTTATGTTGCGCAATATTAGCGCAACTCCTTATTAAACCCCAAAATTTAGTGACAAATTTAATTAAATGCCCCAAAACACAACAAATTACCCATTTTTTTAATGAAATATAAAAGATGAGGTTACAACGAGTAAAACGATACCCAACATGCCCATTTTACAGATTGCGTGCGACCGTGAAACGGCGAAAAACTGCAGTACCCCAAAAAATCAATAAAAGACACTTTAAAAGCCCCCACAGGTCATCAATTTAGAGATACCCCAAAATACTGGCCCTAGAATTATTGCTCTCACTCCGGCGTGCGCGGCGATACCCAGCATGTGTAGCGCGTTCGTCGTTTTCATGCGTAGGCGCACCCGACGCGTGTTTACGTGGTCCTGAAACCGTTTCCAAAAAAAGCCCCCGAAGAGCTGTAACCGGAGCCTGGCAATGCGGCGCGCTCTCCGGCGTCTGGTTACCACCTTTCGGACAGAGCACCTTTTTATTCATCCCCCGTCAGACAAGGTTTGGTAACGGTGGCGAGCGCAGGGCGGTTATTAGATGGGGTGCAGCTTTGGCAGAAAGCTGTGAAAACAAGGCTCGGTTTATTGTTCCTGCCGACTAGCGTGACACTGGCAATTACTGTCCATTGTTTGTGTGAGGTTAGCAAGGAGGCAGGATGCAGTTCAGGCCTCCCCTCTGGGGGTAGATTAATTTGACATGAGTTCTTGCAGGTCACAAAGGCCGCTTATTTACTGCCCGAGAATGAGAAGTTTGTGCCACCGCTGGCCCACAAAGGCAGATTCAGCTGCTGCACAGCTGTATTTAGTGAGACAACACGGCCTGTGTACACTCAGCTGTCCGACACTGCTAACAAAGACATTCTGTGCGAGGCCTGCGGATAGCCAGGTATTCTCGCCTGCCCTGTTTGCCTTGGCACGGCCGCCCCTCTTCTAGTTAGAGTCACTCGAAAACACCATTTTTACTCCAGTAATTCTATTTCGTTCAGGAGAAGCTGAGAATTTCCGGAAAAACACTTTTAAAGTTGAGAGAGCCGACAGTGGACAGTGCGGAGCGCGCTGTGACTGGAGCTGAGCAGCACGCCGGAAAGGAGCAGTGTGTGTTAGTTAGATGGCGCAACTGTTCACATCACCCCAAACTCACATCACCCGAAAGTCATATTTAGGTTATAAGTGAATAGTGACGGGCTGAATCAAACGTCTGATCACAATTCATATAACGTTATAAACTTTACATAGTAGAGGATTTGTCTGTGTCAAAGAGGAGCTTACACTCTAAATATCCAGAGTCTCTTAATATTGTATATAGCTCTGACATATTCCGCAGTGCTGTACAGAGAACACTGGGCCCAGTCACATCAATCTCTGCAAAAGAGGAGCTTACACTCTAATGTCCCACCACAATCATACAATATTTTTATACATTTATATAGCTCTGACATATACTATAGTGCTGTACAGGAAACACACTGAGACAGTCACATCAGTCTCGGCACCAGAGGAGCTTACACTCTAATGTCCCCACCACAGTCACACACCGAAGGAATAGTTTGTATGGGAGACAATTATCCGCTTACTTTTGTAAACATATAACAAATGAAGAACACACAATCTCCACGTGATCTGCTTGTTGGAAGCCCCGGACCCCCCAGCGCTGCAAGACAAATGTGCAGCTTTCTTGTCCCATCCTTCCCCATCGTTTCCTGCTGCAGCTCGGTAATGCCCCATAACTCATACTGCAGACTCGCCATTACACACATTGCAGTTGCGTCCATCCAAGAGTAAATCTTCCCACATCAGCGATTAGAAACTTCCCCTCTGCTGCTACAATTTATGAATTGCAACTTTCCCTCTGCAGCTCCTAATCGTAAAATGAACCCGGAACGCACATCACCTGATACTATAGTATGTACTGTATTAGAATCAGGAGGCTTTCATGCTTGTGGTGCGGGATTTCTATTGGACAGAATTATTATCCGTGTAGTTGTGCCAGCGGAGGGATGCGGATGTTGCGGAATGAGCAGACATTAGCAGTGCGGACAGACAGGAAATGACCGGCGATTTATTTTTAGTTGATGAAGAAGTAAATGGTATCCGATGACTGCGATTTCACCTGTTTTTCGCCAGGCGGGTGTATTATTAAGGGGATTAGTCCGTCATCTAATTGGCGATAAATAGATTAACTCGTTCCGCGGCTGTGAAGTTGTCCTTCCAGACAAATTTAGCCTTCCTGCGATTTATTCTGCTCGGCTTGGCGCACCGAGGCCTTGTCAGATCTGGGTGAGCAGGAACAATCCTGAGGTGCCTGTGCAAGGAAAACAGTCCCCCTAACAAGTGTGCGCGCTGCTGTTTTACACCACAGCTCACTAGTGTCAGGGTGTTGGCCCCCCCGCCGGGGTGACAACTGCACTCAGTGTTACACCCCCACCCACCTACAAAGGCTCATTCATGTAGGTCACACATCTGTACGTAATGGTGGGAGGGGGGGGAAGAGTGTCACCTTCAGCTGTTTGTGTGTCTCTGTCTAATCAGAAAATAAAGTGAAGCTGTCGGTAACTTTACAATTAATTCCTGAAATGTCCCAATATGCAGCAACACTGTTAAGATTATATTTAAAACCCGTCCTTGACCTCCAGTCAGTGATTTGAGATGATGTCATCAGCGTGCTGCAGGCAGGAGGAAGTATTTCCTCAGTCTCTCCTCCCCCAGTGATCAGACTGCAACATTATAACTTTGTAGCAAGTCACAAGGTGAGAGGCTGCAGCAGGGGCCGATCTGTGTCAGCCATTTGTAAACACAGCCATGAACTGTACAGTCACCAGAATTTATGTGATTGTGTCATCTCTGATGATTCATCTCAGTCCAGGAAGTAGATGGTGACCCTGAACAAAGATGGCTCCATCCTTCTGGAGAGAAAAGCCTATGAAGCCATTGTCAGGGTGAGGTGATCACATAAATGGCGAGGTTGAATAAAAATACAGGTCCATCCTGCTCAACCCTTTCATAAATACATAAAAGTGTTGCACTGACATGATATTTAACATGCATAGACAGACTATGCTGCATACCGTTCCTGGGTCTGTACAAATGCAGTGCTCATTATAAGGGTTCCCACCATCCTTGTGCTGGGTTCTCAGGTCTGCAGACCTACTGTGCCCATTATGAGGGTTCCCACTATCCCTGTGTGGAGTTCCTGGGTCTGTGAACCTATTGTGCCCATTATGAGGGTTCCCACAATCCTTGTGCTAGGTTCCC